ATTTTATGCTCATCAAATTTTGGCAGATTATTTAAAGCCAAGAAATAATTTTAGATTGTAACCATTTTTTGAAGAGGGGGGGATAATAACGGTTCACTGAAAATACATGGCACAAATAATAAAACCGCACAAGAAAATAACTAATAAACCACCCGCACAAGTCAAACTCATGTGTAGCTGCGTAACAAAGAACGAATGATGTTCTTTAAACAGAAATTGTCTGCAGAATAATGTACTATACTAAGCCATTGTAAAATCCGTAGATAACGAAGAAAGTATAAATAAGAGTAACCGAATGACCTTAAAAACAAAGAAACTACGCACTGGATTAATTTATTTATTTAGTTTTCGATTTTTAAGTAATGTAGTAAGAATTTGTTTTCGTGTCTGGATTTTGAGTTGGGTTCTGATCGTTTATTTAATAATTTGTGTTGATCTGAGAAGGTAACTCTAGATATTTTCTTCCAAGTTAACAGTTTTGGGATTTATTGTTGTAGGTTAATGTTGTTTTGTTTATTTTCCATGAATTTTTGTTTGTGATTTGTTTTGTTTTGTTTTGTTTTTTTAATTTCCCATACATATTTAGAAAGCATTGTGCTGTTTGCGTATTTACTACTTTAAAGGATGCGTTGTGTGCGTAGTTTCTTTGTTTCTAAGGTCATTCGGTTACTCTTATTTATATTTTCTTCGTTATCTACGGATTTTACAGTGGCTTCGTATAGTACGTTATTTCTGCAGACAATTGCTGTTTAAAGAACATCATTCGTTCTTTGCTATGCAGTTAAACATGAGTTTGACTTGTGCGGGTGGTTTATTAGTTATTTTCTTGTGCGGTTTTATTATTTGTGTCTTGTATTTCGATGAAACTGTAGCCGATTTGTATTATTATCATATATATATATATATATATATATATATATATATATATATATATATATATACCAAATGTTTGTGCATGCCTTCTGTATTTAATAATCTGTAAGTTCTATACAAGAGATTCAGGAATGCAGTTGTTCACTGCAAAACCTCTAAAGCTTGAGGGACATTTAGCAACCATGTCAGCATGAATGTTCTTGTGGGCGAAACACTTTTTCGACAGGTACTTGATAACACAAAAAATGTCAAATTTTTTTTCAAGAGAAATCTAATCGTTCCTTTTGAAGTTTTCTTTGAACAGTCGGGTGTCAGTTTACCTGGAAAGAAAAACTTCATTTATTAATAAGAAGAGCTAAAATTAATGCATGTTCTAGCATCACTCCTTCATAGTCAGCCTATGAACTTTTCAGCCCAAACTCATATAATGGCTGGTTGCTCATTTTCGAATATGCTTGTCAGCTAGGACAGGTAGCCAGTTCATTGTGTAGACGCCTGCTCAGGTACATTTATATTTCTTCAACACTTACTGAGCCCATCTATGGTTTATAACGCAACTATACTGAACAGACATTAGATAAAGTTTCTATGAAATAACAGTTTGAGCAACGCAAGTACGCTAAAACCTTCGGGCATAATGGCTTGTGACTTCGTTCTAGCACAATCTTCGACGAACAAATCCACTTTCAATTAAAAGGATGGGGTCAATACATGGTATGGTTTTCAGGCATTTTCAAAGTTGATTAGAGTCTCTAAAATGTGGTAGAAGTCTAATAGAAAGATCAGATCATTCGCCTGAGTTCTTAAAGACTGTAACTACGGAAGAGGATTTCCAACAAGCAGGAAAGCAAGAAGCAGAAAGGCATCTATTTGAAAATTTAGAGAGAACAGACACCAATTCAGGAGAACATCTCTTAAGGGCTATTGCGGGTATACAGTCAAATCCACATGCTTTCAAGTGATCCAGTTGAGAAATGAACAGAAATCATGGACCGTGTAATATACATATCATGAATCAACTGTTTGAACATGAATTGTCCTTGTCTTTTGAGTACGTTCGGTTTTTATAAGCCATTTACAAACATTTTTGTAGGTTGATTAGGTTGATTTTATAGTTAGACATTGCATTTCTTTGGTGGATTACAAGTGTGAAGACTTAACGCGTCGTTGGATGTTGTGTCAGTTTTTTTTGTGTTTTTTTTTTTTGTCAAGTATCGTTTTTCACAAGTCAGTACGTAGTGCCTCATTAGCTCTAAACAAAACAACTGGGAAGGGCTGGTACTTTCTTCCTTCACTAATTCTCTGTTGACCTACATATATAACCCGCGATATATATACAGCCGGTTAAAGGAGCAGCCGTACTTGATCTGAAGATCGCATTGAAAAATTAAACTGAGTGACCACGCAGTGTTGCTTCCTATATCCACACTGTCTACGTCTGTAATGATTTGTTTCCGATATAGATTAGGAAACAATTTCACATATAAAAGATTTTAATCGTAAAATTTTTCGAAAGTTTACGTAGCTCTCCTCAGATAGATAGATAGATAGATAGATAGATAGATAATGAAGTGCGAAAAAGTAAAACAGAAAGTGAAATGAACCGTGTTTATAGTTGTACATGTGTGCACGCTCGCGTTTGTATGTGTATAATTTATATTATAAACAAATTTTTTCATACATTCTGTGCTATTTCCTCCTACATGTGCATATGTTTTAAGCTTTGTAGATTTATCACGTGTCCTTTTCCTGCTGACCATGCATCACTGTTCATTATTCTCGTGCATACGCGTACACATATGGAAACTCTCGACAATGTTCCTAGGGGCATTTAAATGCTTAAATAATAAATAGGTTATATCATCTTTCTTTGCGGCGACATCTCACTCGAAATAAATGAGGTGTAAAGCAATCCTTAAGGAATATTTTATTCGTTATAAGATCACACATTTACACTTTTGTGACGTCCTTGGTCGCGGCGTCAGCTGCGACGTCCCTAAACACAGCCTTCGCTCACTCCTCGCTGCTCCGTTCGGGTGTCGCCGCTCCAAACGTGACGTCCGCCTGTTGTCTCGTCCTGTGACGACCAACTGGCTTGGTATCGGTCGCGGCACCCAAATGTGACGTTCTAACCTTTTGGTGATTCGGATGGGAATCTGGTTAGATTCGATATCAGCCTCGTCGTTCCCAACTCGCTTCCAGCGCCTGGTTACCAAAGTAACTGCATTGATCTCCAGTCCGCCTACCCACGTTTTGAATTGATCTTAGGCAGACGAGATCAATCAGTAGTTGGGGCCGTAATGCAAATCGGGTTCAACGGGGGTGACACCACACAAATATGCATAAAAGAAAATAAAATGATAACTCAAAAATTCAAGGTATCAAAAAAAAGGATAACAAACTTTATGTCTAGTTGTTGGATACATAGGACTGCGTCTATTTCCCGACCCGTTCTATGGATTGTGACACGTTGTTTTCCGTTAGGCGAGTTTTAACGCTTCAAGTTGTTTGCTCTTTAAGAAATTGGTTTTTCGGTGTGTCTTCGGGCGAAAGTCGAAAAAAAAAAACTTATTTTGGTGGTCTGGATCTAAGTCGCTCTTGAAATTAATTGTTCTTGGATTGAAGAGAAGTCCGGAATTTGCGTGAATCTTGGTCAGCTATCTGCGAGGCGAGAATTCTCTCGAACCGAACTGGAACTCAACTCGGACTTAACTGCAACTGCAACTCAACTGAAACTTCACTTATATGGACGCCGACCAAAACCGGGGTGGGTTTGTCGGCGCCGGGGGGTCCTCGATAATTCTAAATACATATCCACCTCTTTTATTTCTGGTTAGGAATTTTCCATTTTTTTCCATTTTGGGGAGCCTTCTCTTACTCCCATCTTCTCAGCATACTTCAGAGAGGCGTGAACTGCCCTCCCCACTTCTTCGTAGCAACCTCTCATACCCATCCTCTAGATGGGCGGCGACAACCTCCTCCTTGCGTCACGTGATCACCACTCGACCAATGATGTTTTAGTCGGGCGTGTACGATTCCGCGGCTTTGTTTCAGGAAAAAAAAATATCTTGCATAACTAAAAAAAAAATTATCTTTTTCTTTTCCTTTTCTTCCTTTTAATCGCAGTTATCATTTTCTCTAGCCGCAAACAGAACAATACGAACGATGGTGGTTATAACTCTTGTCCTCACCTGGACTTCGTCAGTCATCTTATCGCTAATTATCAGAATGGGTGGCCTTTTTAACACGGCCAGACCGTCGCCTCTAAAAGAAACATTTCTAAGTTCCCATTCATTTTTTTCGGTACACATTTCTGATAACATAGTTTTATTATCGCAGGCTAAAGATGTTCCGTCGAAAGAAATCGGTCAGTGGACACATCGTGTGCGGCTTTTGACACAATTAATTTTTCATATCTATCCAAAGCCCTGTAGTTTCACCTGTGTTTTGTCAATTATCAAAATTAACGTTTTCAATTGGACTTTTCTTTGGCTAGTCGTCTGGGGTTTGCTTAATCAGATGCTTCCCCGCACTAGCGGTTTGTTTATGTATCCCAGATAACACAGCCCGACGCCAGAACACACCCGATTCCTTTATCCACTCAGAATTTCCCTGCCATTGTAATGACACTCTTTCGCCATTTGTTACTTATCAAAATATCCTTTATCCATTGTCTCTTAGCCGTGGTGTTCTGCTTATCATCCACGCTTTGGGTCTTCGCCTCTCCTTTCCTTTCTTTTCTTTCTTTTCTTTTTCTGCCTTGGTAAATTGTGCCACACTTTCCTGGCCTTGAGGTATGCAGAATTTTCGCTTGCTGCATCAAAACGAGTCACCACACTAATGCAGTTGCAACACCTGAGTCAGAACACTCACCCATGCATTTGTCCTACCTGAGTCAGTACACGCATACAGTTTCACTGCCTAAGTTAGGACACTCATAAACGTCTACCATCTTGGTCAGGACATTCAGGATACTCATATCCTTGTCCCAGATGAGTCAGTACACGCATCCAATTCCACCACTTGACTCAGGATACACATACTGTTACCCCACGTGAAACTTCCTAAGTACAAAACTAATATGAGCATGATAGTACAAATAAGTCGTCTCCTTACAGCCACCTCACATTGAAACATTAGTACTCGAACGATCACCGAAGTTAAGCAACGTCGAGCCTGGTCTGTACTTAGATGCGTGACCGCTTGGAAATACCAGGTGGTGTTAACTTGGATGAGCGTGTCGTGCAATGTATAATGGCTCAGAATCTTTAATCAGAGAGCCGAGTTCCAATTCCAGGTGGATTCTTTATATTCACTTAAACTCAGACATTCTTTGGTATGGTGTGAATCCACATCTTCTCCTGCCCAACTATTGGTCAATTTGTAAAACATTTCGCAATGAAACCATTATTATCTCAGAAAGAGTACTTTAGCATTAAATAACCCATAGAGGTGTTGATATCATTATTATCCCCTTTACTTTTGTAATTGTAAGGCGGGTCCGAATATAGAAGCCACACAAACACTTTTCTACAATGGCCTATTAACGTCAACTATCGGCAATTCTGGTACACTCATACCTGTCCACGTTTTGACATTGTCCAACCAGTTTTTGCGTTGGAGTTCTCTCCTACATCCAACTTCAACGGTGCCTTGCATGTGGTATTGTACACAGGTTGTCGTGCCTTGTAATGTGTCCAAACCACGTGATGTGGATCCAAAGTTGGGACCACGGAAGGAAAACACGGAACACGGATTAGAGGTAAGAAAGATATATTAAACAAAAGGTTACAAAGATAGTGTAAGTGTAAGCGGAGCTTACTATGTGCTAGTGTCCAATATTGGTAGTCGTACGCGGCTGATACTACGGTATTAGAATACTCTCTCTCCTCCTCTTCTTCTTCTTCTTCTTTCCTAGAGTGTTATTCGCATACTTTATATAGTCCTGGAAGAGTCCATGTTGTAGGTATGTTACGTTCTCACAGTACCCCCATTCCAAGAGTTTTCTTTTTTTTTCTTTTTGAAAAGAAGAAAAAAAAACATAAAACTCTTAATACTTTTTTCTCTTGGGATTTACGTCGAGCGGTTGAGTAAATTTCCTTTTCCTTCCTGAGCGTCGCACTTCAGGAGTGACTTGGGGCGTGTCGAGATCGAAGTGATCGAAAATTACATCGATCGGCTCTTCACAGCTATTTTGTAGTGATTCCTCCGATTCTGAGCTGGTTCCAATGGCGTTTGTGAGTGTTTTTCGGTCCTTGGACAATTTAGGCCAGTTCGCCAATTCTTTCTTTTATGGTGCCTACTTCCCAGAATGTTATGTTGTTTCTGTAAGCATTGAAAAAGACTTTATCGCCAGGATTGAAATATTTCTTATGAGGCGATACGGCTTTTTTTTAACTTTGCTTGCCGTGGAATAAGTTTGTCGAAGACAGACTTGATTTTCCTTGCGAACATTGTTTCTGCAGGCGAGCTTCCCATAGGCGTTTTCGGATTAGGGGTTATTCGATACACCTGCAGAAACTGATGCAATGCTGTATCTGTCGGTGTGCCTAGTACCTTTTTTTAAGCCCTTTTTAGAGTGTCCACGAAATTTTCGGCCTGACCATTCGACCTAGGGTGGTATTGAGGCGTTGTAATGTGGTCCACCTGATATGACTTGCAGAAGTCTCTAAATTCCCTTGATGTGAATTGAGTGCCATTATCTGTAACTACACAATCTACCACGCCAAAACGCGCGAATAGCTCGTGTAGAAATCCGATCGTGCAGTTTGTGGTTGGTCTTTTGCATTGTAGGACCTCAGGCCATTTTGAGTGGCTATCCACAACAATGAGGTAGTACATGTTGTCTATAGGCCCTGCAAAATCGATATGGATTCTTTGCCATGGATGGTCTGCGTTTGGCCATGGTTTGCACGTCGTGGTTGAAGCTTTTGCTGCAAGCGCGCATCCTTTGCATGATTATATCTGTCTGCTATGTCCTTGTCCATATTTGGCCAATAAACATAGCAGCGCATGAGGCTTTTCATACGTTTCTTCCCCGGATGTTCCATGTGAAAATCCCTGAGGATTTTTCTTTGTAGGCTGTTTGGAATCACTACGCGGTCATTGTATAGTAGGACATCATCGAAGAGGAAGAAAGCTTCAGACACATTGGGGTCTTTGTTGCGAATTTTGCTTTTTATGGATTGAATGAATTCATCCTCTCGAGACTCCCTTTTTATGTCGGCCAAAGTAACTGGGGGCTCTCTTATGGTACTCGCGATCATGTTTTTGATTTCACAATTTGTCCTTAGAGTAGCAATGATGGAGTCTTCAAAGACTTCTGTACCTTTTGGAATGAGTAGCGATAAACTGTCTGCATGGCAAATATTTTTGGATGTTAGGAACTCTATCTTGAAATTATAGTTTAAGAGAATCGTTCCCCAACGAAGTAGTCTATTTGCAGTATAGACTGGCAGACCTTTTTAGAACCAAAATTGTAATTAGAGGTTTATGGTCCGTCTGCAGTATGAACCGTCTACCATGTAGATATCTGTGAAACTTTGTCACAGCGAATATTAACCCTAGAGCCTCTTTCTCTATTTGGGAATATTGTTTCTCAGTTCGAAGTAGAGATCTTGATGCGTGAGTCACAGCTTTTCGCGAACCATCTGGCACTTTATGCAGAATCCAACCACCAATGCCGTACGAGCTTGCATCACTTGCGACTATGATGTCGAGACTAGGGTCGTAATGGGTGAGGGAGAGGTCCGAAGTAAGACGTTTCTTGATCTTCTCGAATGCGTCTTGGTATTCCGGGGTCCATGACCATGGTTTGTCCTTTTTTAAAAGTTGGTTGAGAGGCCCTCTCAAATTTGGCAACTTCTTAATGAACCCTTGGTAAAAGTTAGCTAGGCCGAGGAAGCTTTGTAACGCTTGAACGTTATCTGGGGCCGGCATGTTTCTGATTGCGTTGGCTCTTTCTGGATCCGGCCGACGACGGTCTTTATTTATGATGTGCCCTAAGTATTTAATCTCTGATAAGAAAAAGTCACACTTTGCCTCCTTAACCTTAAACCCGTATTCTTGTATCTTTTCAAATACGTTTATTATATGGTTCCGGTGCTCTGTCGTAGTTTTACTAGTAACCAGTATATCATCCAAATAGCCTGTTGTGTAGTCAAGGTCGCCCAGCATGGCGTCCATGACCTGCTGGAAAATTGCAGTCGCAACCTTTGCCCTTTGCTCCAAAAGCCAGTCTATTGTATTTGTACAACCCTCTAGGGGTGTTTATGCAGAGCAATTTGGAACTTTCTTCTTCCACCTCTATCTGAAGGTATGCGTCCGAGAGGTCAAATTTAGAAAAAAAATTTCCACCATTGAGTTTATTGAAAATTTCTTCAGGGCTTGGGAGAGGATAGTGGTGATCTTGCAAGGCATCGTTTAACCCTGTGTAAAAATCTGTGCATACTCGTATTTGATTGGACTTCTTTTTTACGTAGACCGTAGGTGCTGCCCACTCGCTGAAATCTGTTTTTGACAGAATACCTGCTTGTTCGAGTCTATCTAACTCTTTGTTGATTTACTCTAGAGCAGCGAAAGGGACATTCCGTTTCTTTTTGAATACCGGTTGTGCACCGTCCTTCACCCTGAACGTAGCTTTCATTTTAGTACATTTCCCAAGGCCACCAGAAAAAAACCTGGGGAAATTGTTGTTTGAGTTCCTTTTTGAGATTTATCAAATTGGATGTTGTACTTTGTATCTTGCGACAAAATGTACTCATTGGGCAATCCCAAAGATTGAATTTTTCTATCTAATCTGTTCCAAATAAGTTACCTGAAGTTTTCAATACGTAGGCTTTGAGCTTTTTAGTAACTTCATTTATTGTTACTGTAAGTATTACCTCGCCTAAAATGTTAATCTTTTCGCCAGTTACGGATTTTGCTGTTTTATCCGTTTTTAATAAGGTCGGCTTGTTCAATTTTCGCCAAGTACGCCAATTAATGGTTGAAACCCGAGTCAAGCTGGAATTTAATGGAATTATTGAAAATATCCACAGTTACATATTTCCTTAAATTCCTATCGGCAATATCGTCAGATTGAGCTTGCCTAATTTTATTTTTGGGTTTTCTCGTTCTGTTGGTGTACCAGCACGAAGTTAAAGTATGCCGACTTTTATTGCAATTTTTGCAATATTTTTTGTTCTTAACTGGACAGAATTTGAGGGGAGAATAATTTTATGCACGAGTTCAACTCAGTTACATAAAAAAAATTTAGATAGTTTTTTTCGAAAACTTGAGTGGTAAATAGTACTTGGGCTCTTGTGTTGTCAGTTTGTTCTATGAACAAACTGTTTTTTTTTCTGTGTGGGGGTGTGTAAAAAATCGTTCTCGTAATGTTATTTGGACAGATTTTAATATTCCGTAGATATCGAATCGCTAGTTCGTCACTGCTGTTTGGTATCGGATATATTTTTTTTATATATGTAGACGCTGGGTGTTGCGTTTAAATCGCTAATGTAGTAATACCAGATTAATTTCTCGTTCAACACTACTGTGTATTTTAGAGTACTCTGTCGCTATTGATATGGTAAGAACGAGATTCTCGAATCTTTCTGGCGCCACTGATGTGGGACTGGCAAGGTATTACGGTTTTCGACGTGAATGCGTTTCTCGAATTCTTCGTCGACACAGATGTGGGACTGGTAAGGTATTGAGGTTTCGGCGTGAGTGAGTTTCTCGAATTCTCCGTCGCCACTGATGTGGACCCAAAGTTGTGACCACGGAAGGAAAACACGGAACACGGATTAGAGGTAAGAAAGATATATTAAACAAAAGGTTACAATGATAGTGTAATTGTAAGCGGAGATTACTATGTGCTAGTGTCCAATATTGTTAGCCGTACGCGGCTGATACTACGGTATTAGAATACTCTCTCTCTCTCCTCCTCCTCCTCTTCTTCTTCTCTCCTAGAGTGTTATGTCGCATACTTTATATAGTCCTGGAAGAGTCCATGTTGTAGGTATGTTACGGTCTCACAATACCACGTCATTTTTCTCCGATTGACATTGGCGAGAAGAGGTTCCTGGTGTCCCACAAAACTTTCAACCCTTTTCCGCACAAACTCATTGTTTTTTTGTTCCCAGTGGAAAATGCCAAGGAGTTTCCTCATACGTTTATTCTCAAACTTGGATCCTTCTTTATGTATCTGCCAACAGTGTCAACGTTGATATTCCGCTAAATAA